CCCCCCGTGACCCTGCTGTGGACAGCTGTGTGCCACCCCACTGGCCACTGCCACTGGTCCCCAGCTGCCACGCTGCTGACTCCCAGCAGGACGTGTGGCTCGCAGGGATTACCTCAAACCTCCAGAGCCCTCCCATGTCCCCAGTCCTCTCGAAGCAGACGGGCTCCAGCCCCTCTTGCAGGCAGGCTTTGATGGCACACAGCCCACTGCTGCCCCCTCCGATGATGGCCACCCTCTTCGCCATGCTGCCCTCCACCGCCGGGTCTCTGCCTGGGGACAGTGCCGGAGAGCAGGGCTGAGGGGCGAGGTGGGCAGCTGTGCAAAATTTTGGCCCTGTGCACCAAAGAGATCCCAAGCTGAGAGGCAGCCCCTCAAAAGTCCGTCTGGGGCTGCGAGGCAACTGGCATCCTCCCCACCCCTGGCAGGGACCTGGCTGGTGCTGGTGCTCTGCACCACCGAGGTGTTATCTCTGGACGCCACGGGGAGGAATGCTACGAGTGCCAGGGAGTCTTGAAATCCCCCTGCCCACCCCAAATCCTGGTGATGGGGGCATGCCGGAGTGCCGTGCTCTCTCCTGGGTGGGTGACGGCCCCTCCACTTACCCTTTGCCCTCTCCCTTCCCTGGGGAGACGTCCGTCGCGCCCCCCCCCGGCACCCACTGCGTGCTGGCGGCCCGCGGGGAGGACCTCAACCGCCCTGCCCCTCTGCCCCCCCTCCCACGGGGCCCGGGGGAGGAAGCCAGCTTCTGCCTGGCTCCCGGCCGCCTGCTCGGCTTTCCCAGCAGCAGCTCTCGCTGCAGCCCCGGATGGCGGGGTAAGGAGCCGTCCCACGCTCCTCACCAGGAACCCCCGTGCGGGGACACGGTGGGGGCACAGGGTTGCAGGAGAGGCAGAGACACAGCCGGTCCCTGTGGTATGCACACCAGGGAAACAAACACTCCCCTGAACTTTTACCTCTGGGATTATCAGGATCAGCCCAGCAGTGTTTATGCTGATACCCGGGGGCACATGCGGATCCGCCTGCTCCAGCGGCACCTGGCACCTCATCACCCACGTCCCCTGTGCCCCTGGGCTGGGTATGTTGGCACAGCATCCCTGTAGCCACAGCTTGCTCCTGGCCCATCGGAGTCCCAGGGCCAGCGGGACCCCAGTGCAAGGAGCACCATGCCTCTGGGGAGTTGCTGGTGCCAGGGCGGTGGGGCTGGTCAGGGAAAGGCTCTTCCCGGTGGTGTGAGGCACAGACCAGCTGGCTTGGGATTGCTCTGCTGGCTCCTGCCACGCTCACGGCCAGCCAGCCCCTGGGGGCTGCAGGGGAAATTTGCTCTCCTGTGTCCAGGGAGCCGAGCAAGGCACCTGGCTACGGAGGGCCCAAACTCTGCAGCTGAAATGGTTTTAACCTTCTAAAACTCATAGTACGTTTGCAATAAATGTAATAAAGCTCTTTCTGTCCCTCGCTGTTGGTGACAGCTCATCTCTGCCTGGGCCAGAGGTGCCAAGCTGCCAACCCTCACTCTGTGTTTGCCTGTCGAACGCATCCAAGACATTTCTTACCAGGCAAGGGGATCAGCACAGGGACAGCCAGGAGGCAGCGCTGGCAGCACTATCCTTCCTGCTCCACCTCCCAGCTGGCTTCTGGCTATATTTTACACACTCTGCAGGGACTGCCCAGGGGCGAGAGGTACAGCGGGAGAGGTATGGGGGACTTCTCCCAACTCTCAAGCCCACCGCTGTGCTATGAAACCTCTGCGCAGGTTGCCTTCGAATTTGCCCTTTTGCCTTGGCAGCTACAAGAGGCTGCACAGTCCTGGAATTTGCCCCCAGTGTGCTTGGGCTCATGGCCCAGCCGAACCATGCCGCCAGGCTTAGGGGATGGCAGAAGTGCACCAGGGTCAAGCCATGGCATTTCAGTTAAGACCAGCTTGTTGATGTTTGTGGGAAAGCCACGGTCCCCCACGCCTGGCAAGTGCCTCAGATGGACAGTGTGATGGGCAGCGCATGCAGACATGTCTGCTCAGGGCTTTCACAGCGGGCAGAGGTGCTGCGGGGGAAGCCAAGCAGAAAGCGCCAGTCTCCTCCTTCCTATCACCGGGCTGGCATCTGCACTTGGAGGAGCGGTGACGAGAGACAAGCACAAGAGACCAAAGGTTTTACTGGCAGAGGTGGGGAGAAGCATAGCAGAGGCGCAGCAGAGCAGCCCATGACCCAATAGGGCTGTGCACTGGTGATGGCAGGTGGCACCAAGCAGCTCATGGAGAGTCCTGCAAGTGTGCCAGGAGCAACTTTTGGCACACACACATGTTTGTGGGAACAAGCCACAGGTGCACAGAGTTGCTGCCATACTGTCCTGTGGCCTGGAGAAGAAGACCGCAACAGCTGTAAGAACCGTTTGGACAAAAAGCACCCTGTGTTTGGGCAAAAGTAGAGCCAAGATGTCTTGGCACAGCTCAACAAGCCCTGATCACCCCAAACCCTGACCGCACGGGAGCTTGCTGCCTGCCTGTGATCCTGCAGAGCTCGTCTCTTCCTGGGGGCAGGATGGCTGGCCGGGGTGCCTGGGTGCTGCCGTACATGTGCTGGACCAGCCCAGCTGGCTGCTGGGCATGCAGTGCAACAAGGGATTTTTTTGGTCACTGTATGAGTTCCAATCCAGAATGCAAACCCACAGCTGGTAGCTTCACCAGCTCATGATGCCGGTAAGTCATGGCTCAGCTCTGGGGCAACCTTGTCACGTTGAAGTGCTTTCATTTCAGGTCCTGTATAACTGACAGTGGGTGACAGAATGCTTGCACCAGCGACCCTCAGGCTGCTCCTGCGTACTTCACCCAGAGGAACAGCATGCTGAAACACTGCCTGGTTTTAGTATGACTTAATCGGTGCTTTCCAGGGCCTGAGTGCACTAATTGACCTTAATGGCCATGATGAGCCTCACCCTGGGCCCAATCACCCACACCCACATGCTGGGAGCACTATTTAAGCTCAGTCCAAAGCCCTCACTCCCTACCTGGCTGTGCTCCCTGTTGGTGTGGATTATGTGCTTTTCTGGCTCAATCTCAGCCCTGGCTCATTACAGAGGCTCCTCGTAGTCCCCTCCTGCCAAAGATGGGTGCTCCTCTATGAAAAACAGGCTGCCAGGACTGACCGTGCCAGGGTAGGAGAGCCAGCTTGGCTGGAGCACAGGGAGCTGTGGTGGGGGCTGGCCGAGTCAGGGTCCCTGGCTGTGGGAGGTGCAGGTGAAGCTCCAGGGCTGCCCAGCAGCCTGGAGAAGGGGCTCACTGCAGTATCCTGTTAGCAGTGCTGGTAACATGCTGACAAACAGGAATTGCTGTGGGTGCACTGTACCCACCCCCCACTCCCCCCGGCAGACTGAAAATCCTGTGGAGGGGGGGAAGGAGCTGTAAAGCTCTGCCCAAGGATGTCAGGAGCAGGCTGCAGCTGGGAGCTGCTTCCCCAGTTTCCCACTCTCTTAGAGATGGCATGGATGGACCAAACCCTCAGCTGCACGGGGAGCCAGGTGCTTGTGTCCTTGTTGGTTGAGATCTGGCCACAGTGCAGTGCTTAAATCAAGAGCAATAGGGAAGAGACGTGTTGCTTAGGAAGGCAAAACTCTTTATAAACCTGAGGAGACACCCCAGTGAGTCCCCTCCAGGCAGACATAATGGAGCAGGCTGTGCAGGGCATGCTCACGACACGTGATCAGTGTATTTACAGCGTACACATACAGGGACAATTGCAGAGAAATCTCTGCAAAGCCACAGCTACCACACACACCATGGGCTAACGCAACAGGTGCCCAGCAAGGGCATGATGACTCACAGTATCAGCAATGAGCTGCCAGGTGAATGTGCTGAGCCCTCTCTGGGCTCTGCAAGGACTGGTTTTTCATGGGAGAGCAGTCAGTGCAGCTGCTTGGCCAGTGCACACCCTGCCTGCCAGCCCGTCAGGAGGACAGGACAGCACCAAACGTCTGAATGTGGGCCCAGGAGCCTGCAGCACCGCTAGTGTTGAAGTCTTGGCTGGATAGATGGGGTCTAGGATGCAAGTTCAAGTCCCAGTATCCCCTCCCTGTGCACGCTTAGAAAACTGGGTGCATGCCTCCTCCTTTGGGAGGGACACAGCTGTCAATGGCCCCAGAGCGCAAAGAGGGCAGGCGCGCTAAGTGGGGACAGCCAGCAGTACTCCACCACGCTGTACAGCGCGTAGCCCAGCAGCAAACCAAAGAGCACGTCCGTCACATTGTGCCTGCCCAGCATGACCCTTGAAACGCCGACGATGAGAGCCCAGAGCACCACGAGGACCCGCAGTGGGACGGCGAGCACCAGGTGGTGCAGAACGAAGCGGCAGACCAGGGCGGCTCTGGTGGCGTGGCCCGACGGAAAGGAGTACTTGTCCACCGAGATGGTGACGAACATGTCCATCTTGTTGTGAGTGGGCCGCCGCCGCTTGACGAGCCCTTTCACCACTGCCACCATCACGAGGTCCAGCAGCAATGCTAGGAGAGAGTAACAGTGAGTGAGCAAGAAAGGAAGGGTTTCCCCCTGCCCCGACCCCCGGAAAACAAGGCAAGAATCAAACCAAAGCCATTAGCTAAGAAAACAAGCACTTGGCTACCAAAACCTGCTAAGAGAAAGCAGTGTTTCCCATGCCTACAATGCCCAGGTAGGGAGACCAACAGTCCTCCAGTGCTTGGCCTTCTCCAGCACGAGGATATCCTCACTCTTGCTGGACGCAGCCCTTGCGCGATGCCAGACCCTCTGCCTGCCACAGCCAGCAACAGGACTTGGCCAGGCTTGCACCCAAGAGCTATCCTTTCTGTGCAAAATCTGACTCAGGGCTGAAATCGACCCTTAATCTGAAGACAACAGAGGGGTTAATATTCCCCACACCTCCCTTCCCCGACAGCCTCTGCTGACTCAGCATTGCTTTTGCCTACCCTCCTGGCTGGGAGTCAAACCTAACCTGGTGAATGATCAACCCACTTCAACTACAGGTCAGGGTGAGAGGCCCCGAGCTCGCGTGGCGCTGCCAGGGCTCCTGCAGTCTGGCTTCTCCCTGCTGCTGGATGGGGGTTAATGCCAGAAAGTTAACTGCACTTTGGTTTTCAAGAGCTGAATGAAAGATGATTTAAATAATTCCAGCTAAAGAGCTAAAGGTTGTTGCAGTAGAAGTCAGAGGCGAAGCATGTGAGATGTGGTCAGCCAGTGTTGGGCAAGAGCAGCTTCTCACGCAGGGCAGAGGGTGCTTTCTCCAGCCCTGTTTGCTCAGCCAGTGCAACGCTCAGCCGGGGCTGCTTCGTCCACGGAAGCCTTGTGTGAGGGATGGATTTCTGTTTGTCCTAAGGCTCATTTCCAGGCACCAAACCTTTCAGTCACTTCAGTTCATTCCCTTTGGTTAATCATTTAAGAACAAATATTTTTTTTCCACATGTAAACCTTGTTCGGTTGTTTGTTTTGGTTTGTTTTGGGTTTTTTTTTTATATGGTTTGGGAGACTGAACTTGGAAATTAGTGAAAAGTCCTTCCCTGTGCAACCCACAGGGTCCCAGAGAGGTGGGTGGCGCTGGCCCTGAGCACTGAGGGCCAGACAAGGCCCCAGTGCTGGGACACCTCCTTGGAGCAGAGGTTAGGCCAGAGGCCTCCAGGTCCCTTCTCACAGCTCTGCTGTAAGACTGTAATTTAACCATGTGCTGTGAGATGAAAAAGATGCACAAAACCATATGTTTCCCACTAAGCCAATTTAAATTCAAATGGTAAGTGTGCAATACCAATTATTTGCAACTTAATAAAAGAGTAAGAACCAGGAGCCAGAAAAGGTCTGTTGCTCTGGAGCTACTACAATTTCTAAATGAACAAAAATGAAGGATCCAAGTATACCTAATAGGACAGGATGCTAGCAGGTGAGTATTACACCACATGAAATTAAAACGCATGCTTTAAACCAAGTTTCCTCACTGGCTGATACAGATCAATCTGTGCAGGCGCTGCCTGCGGACAGCCCAGGGGTGCAGGCAACTGTGTGCCAGAGCAGCTTTTCAGGGAAAAGGGCTGGTGTCCCAACGCTAGGCAGCTGCACCTGGAATGCGCTGTTCTGATAAGCTGATGAACTAAAAGAGAGTGCTGCTCCCCGAAAGCTTTGTGCAACTGCAGGAGCAGTTTAGCTGGCAGAAGTTTCACAGGGTGTGGTTGGAGCTGTGACAGATGAGCCATACCCATGCCACCACGTCCTCCAGCTGCAGGGTTACTCACTCTGGTTCCAGGCACCCCAGATGAGGCTGTACCAGTTACTCAAAATCAGCGGGTTCCCTCAGGGCTGTTGGAGGCCGAGATGTACTCAGCTCTGCCCCATCCTTCCAGGCCCATCCTCCCCGCTTGGCCCCAGCCAGCCCCAGCCTGTGGAGCCCCTTGGCGAGCCCCCAGCCTCACCGAAGAGCAGCTTCAGCAGCACCTCCCTGGCTGCCGAGCTGTCGCTCTGACAGAGCCCGTAGAAGGTGCCCAGCAGCCAGGGGATGCCGTGTCCCGAAACCTCGATGACCTTCATGAGGGGGCGTGTGCTGCCCCAGGCAGAGCCCTCTCCAGCGCAGACGCCCAGGCGCTTGGAGGCCCAGAGGTCGATGGCGAGCAGGGAGCTGAGGGCGATGCCCAGGAAGGAAGGGTTCAGCTTCATACAGTCCTCCTCGGGCAGTGGGGCTGCCGCGGAGCTGCCCGATTCCTTGCGTCGTGACGGGCTGTCCGGGGCGACGGGGCTGCGCTGGCTGACGAGGGACA